GAAGGAAGGAAGGAAGGAAGGAAGGAAGGAAGGAAGGGAGGGAGGGTGCCCAGTATAGTATATACTGTACATTATCTCTTTTCTCCTACCAATATTTTTCTTCGTTTCACCCACCGTTGCCTCTGTTCAAAAGGCTTTGTTGATTCCAGAAATTCTGTAAGCTTTGTTAAACGCCAGTGGCAACGGAATGGGTAAAGTTAGATGGGACAGCAGGAAATCTTTGATAGAGTCTCCTATGACTGAGTATTGAACTGTCTTGGATAGCTCAGTGGTTAGGTCTCTGGCTGTGAAGCCAGAGGTTGGGAGTTCAGTTCTGCGCTGTGTCTCCTTGTCATGTGTGGGACTTGATGATCCAGAGGATCCCTCCCAGCTGTGCACTTCTGAGTCTCCCAGTGATTATGATATGTTCCATAGCCCTGTGTGTATACGTGAGTGTGTGTGGCAGGGGTGTGTGTGGAAATCTGACTGGGGAATATGAGACTGGGAGTGTTTTGTTTGTGTGTGTTTAACTTGAGACCTCCTGTACTGTTTTAATGAAAAGTTGTCCCCAGGCTATTTTTCTGCAAGGTAAAAAGCAGCTTTGGTTGGGAAAAGAGTGGTCCTAATTGGTTCACTCCCTTCTTCCCCCTGGATGCTATTAAATGCTTAAAGAAACTGTGGGAGGTCCAAGCCGGTATGTCCTGCTGTTCCATCTGGTTGTTCTTTCCATTTGGCTGCCCTTTGGGGGAACGAACAGGCATTTTATACTCTTTGCAATAACTACCGTGTTTCCATCTTGAGTAAATAAAGAAATACTGTAATCTGGTTTATGTTCTATGATGGAAATTAAGGCTGTTTTCAGCGACAGGCAGATCTTTTTGTAAAGCACAGGAAATCTGCTACTGTCAGCATTTGCTTTGTTTGTGCCATAGGAGTTCATAAGAAAATAACTGAAAAGAGAATTCCCTCCACCCCCCACCCCCGTGGATCTTAATGTGTCAAGTGGAAATCTGCCAAGGAAGGGCTGAAAAGGAGAGGAATTTTCATTCTCGTTGGCTTATGTAGTAATTGAACATCAAGATGTGTGTTTTTTTTTTTAAAAAAAAATTCTACTCTTTGAAGCCATCCACTGCTCATTCATTTTGTTTGGATTAATAGCCCCAGTTTTGGCACATCTTGCTAGAAAGTGTACAGTATTGACCTTGACGTGTCCCATGAAGATTGTGGGTGGGTCTAGGGGAGGCTTCAGATTTCTCAGCAGTGGGAGAAGACACTGCTTTGTAACCGGTAGTGAATGTACCATGGGGGTGGGATGGGGAGGTACCAAAGGGAAGCAACCTAAGTGGGACACAAGGTTTTTTTTATAACAATTAGGAACTGAGCAAACTGCTTTTGCTGAGTCAGACCATGTTAGTACTGAAGCCCAGTTTTGTTAGCTCTGATGGGTAGCCTCAGGGATCCTGCTGGGAATTCAGGCAGGTTTTTTTCCCTGGCTTTCTTTTCATTCTTCCTACTTTTTGGAGAGGTCTGTTGCCTAGGCATGATGGATTCACATTGCATCTATATTTTTAAATAGCTTTTCTTAAAGGTTCAGAATTCTCAGTATGATACAACAGTTCTTTTAAGATTCGCCTACTGAGGTTCTGGTCTAGATTGCTACGAGTGGGTATTCTCCAAGCTGGGTTGAATATCTCACTCTGGTGTTCCTCCTTCACCTTACTATACCCAATAGATGCGCCAGCCCTGATTACAACTGCTGTAATGGTTTGGATCTTTGTAAATGTGTTTACTGATTTGTTTGAATCATAGAATTCTAGAGTTGGAAACAATCTCAAGGCAGAAAGTACAGTATACAGGTAGAGCATTCCAGACAGATGGCCATTCTACCTCTGTTTAAAAGCTTCCAACAAAGCTTGATTCTGAAGGGAGGAGTTTCAAAGGGAGGAGTATGAAATTCTGGCAAGGACAGTGACCAAAATGTGTGCTTTTTTTTACTTATCCATACAAGAAAACTGGATCAGCATAGTGTGACTTGGTGACTTAAACAACCAACTGTCATGATGGTAGCCACTGCCTTCTGTGAAGTGCTGTGCTTAACAATGGAAGTGTACAAGTAACCTGTTCTTTTTTTTCCCCTCCAAGTCCCACAGACTCCAAAATTACGACCTCAAGAACCCAACTCAGCCACAAGTACATCCATTGCAGTATACTGGACTGTGGATGAAGATGCGATTATTGACTTCTTCCAAGTTTATTGTATGGAGGACTATCCAGGAAACAAAGAACAAAGCGGTGTGTATGAGTGATATGGTCTCAGCCAGAGGGTGGAGCTGGGGAGAAACAGAGAATAAAACCCAGGTTGTACAGTACATTGATATTTTAAAAGGAAATAATGAAAAGCATGAGAAATAAAGCCACTGACCAAAGTTCTCTTCAGAATCATGGACCGTAATGCCCCCATGAGCATAACACTCTGCATGACCTCTGGCTTGTTGTTGTGCAAGCCAGAGAGCATTCTGTTAAACAGGGTTTTAATTCAAGGAGGTAATGGGTACTGCCTCACACAAGCTCACTAAAAGTGTAAATGCTCAGGAAATTGGCCATTGCCTGCATCAGATTATCAGGATATGTGAGTGTATGGACAGAACTGTATAGATTTCACATTTACTTAACGCATGGAGTGGTAGAAATAACCCAAGGTCCAGGAGGCAGAACACATACAGAGAACTGTATAGATTTCACATTTACTTAACACATGGAGTGGTAGAAATAACCCAAGTTCCAGGAGGCAGAACACATATAGAACAAAGGCTTAAATGTTAGCAACAAAAAAGAAAGAAAAGAAAAGAAATATGGCGAATTCTAGTTCTATGCACATTCAGACTGCAATCTCAATATACACATTTACATGAAAGTAAGCCCTACTGAACACAGTAGACATTACTTTTGACTAAACATATACAGGATCGTGCTTTTGGGAATAGAGAAGAAGAAGAAGAAGAAGAAGAAGAAGAAGAAGAAGAAGAAGAAGAAGAAGAAGAAGAAGAAGAAGAAGAAGAAGAAGAAGAAGAAGAAGAAGAAGAAGAAGAAGAAGAAGAAGAAGAAGAAGAAGAAGAAGAAGAAGAAGAAAAGGAAGAGATACAGTGGGGTCTTGACTTGAGAACTTAATCCGTATTGGAAGGCGGTTCTCAAGTCAAAAAGTCTGTAAGTCAAGTCTCCATTGACCTACAGTGCATTGAAAACCGATTAATCCCGTAACAGGCCGTTTTTGTTCCAGTTTGGTTTTTTTCTGGTCTGGAAGTCAAATCTCAGTCTGCACGTCAAACCTAAATTTTGCGGCTAGAGAAGTCTGTAACTCAAAAAGTCTGTAAGTCAAGCCGTCTGTAAGTCAAGGGTCCACTGTAATAAACTACAGATTTTAATGTGTATGTTCTTACATATAGAACATTATGGCTGAAATCCAGTACTAAATCACTGCTACAGTATTAATTAATTAATTGATTGATTGATTGATTGATTGATTAATTAACTTTATACTCTGCCAATCTAGACCAACATCTACTCTGGGCAGCTAACAATAATACATAAAAGTAAAAACAATATAATAAAACAAAGACAACAGTAATACAGTGGACCCTTATTGATTGATTGATTGATTGATTAACTTTATACCCTGCCAATCTAGACCAACATCTACTCTGGGCAGCTAACAATAATACATAAAAGTAAAAACAATATAATAAAACAAAGACAACAGTAATACAGTGGACCCTTGACTTACAGACGGCTTGACTTACAGACTTTTTGAGTTACAGACTTCTCTGGCCGCAAAATTTAGGGTTGACTTCCAGCCTGAGAATTGACTTGCAGACCAGAAAAAAACCAAAATGGAACAAAAATGGCCTGTTACGGGATTAATCGGTTTTCAATGCACTGTAGGTCAATGGAGACTTGACTTACAGACTTTTTGTCTTGAGAACCGCCTTCCAATACGGATTAAGTTCTCAAGTCGAGACCCCACTGTAATATAATTCAAGATGGCAAATGTAATTAGATGATGACAGGAGGGATAGCCTGTGCCTAAAGAGCCAGAGTAGGCCCATTGAATCACTTATGGAGGAGTTGACTCACCAAATCCCCGCTAATTCAGGCAGTCTATTTTAGTTGCAACTTACTAATGGATTTCAGCTAGTGTATCTGTTCAAACATTTAACTAATGTTTCTTTTAAAGATGCTTCCAGAGCCCTTACAGGTCTGTGTCTGTCAGATGTCAGTATATAATTTGAAACTTGGCATCTGCATATGCCCATAAATATACATTTAGAAGAATATTTTAGACAAATCATTCAGCATCTTTGAATGCTTGTGGCATTGTTGCAAAAAATGGAATACTAATTGCAAGGCTGAGAGGTTAGAAATTGGCTTATATGCAAAGCATCTCTGTCGTTGCTGTTCCTGTTCCTGTCATCTTGTTTATATAGTGTTCTTCCTTTCCTAGAGGGCCCAGGATGGCACTCATCATAACACATTACTTGTCATTTCAATTAAAACTGACCACAGAACTGAATTTTAAAAATGTAGGATAACATGTACACTCTTAGAATATTTTAAAGCATTTCTCATGACAGCAAGTATGTTTACTTCTTACTTGGCCTAGGATTGGTAGAAGAGTACCGAGTTACTGTGAAGGAGAGCAACTGCATTTTGGAGGACCTAGAACCTGGTCACAGCTACAGTGTGTGGGTTATGGCTGTGAACTATGCAGGATGTAGCTTTCCTAGTGATAAATCCACTTTTAAAACTGGTGAGTAGCACGGACTTATAGAACCAATTTTTCCCAGCATGTGCATGTTTATGTGTCCCATTATATATAAAAAAGGTGTAATTGAATAGAAAGAGACAAGGGCCTCCAGAAAGATGTGCCTTATATTTTCATGTGTTGTCACAAGCCCTTAGAGATTACTCAAAAATCAAATATCATTATGAGACTCATGTTGGGCTGGTTTGCACATGTGTATGCAGTACATCACTTCAATACTCCACACTTGACCAACACATAAATGTATGAACGGACTTCACTGATGTTTTCTTTCTTTTGCAGTAACATTGGGTGATTTGAAAGTTGTGTCTGGGATTTCTCATCTGTGGTGGCTCATTCACACATGGATTCATTGTTTGAGCACCTTTCACCCAAGTAGCACAAATCCAGTAAACATGCTGGTGATGATGATAACATGCTCTCGAGTTGATTTGGATTTACGGTGACCTTTTCCAGGGTTTTTCTAAGTATATTGTACTCAGATGTGGTTTACCATTCCCTTCTTCCCAGGACACCCTGGGACTGTGCTTCTTGCCCAAGGCTTCATAGGCTGGCTGTACTCCCAGGAGGCACAGTAGGGAATTATACTCCCTTCAGCCAGGCACCCAAATCACTGAGCTATCCAGCCAGCATAGGGGGAAAATGCGGACTTACCCCCACATACTGTTTACTAGTTCACCTTAGGGTCCCCATATGGGTAGAAATACACAGAAGCACTGTGACATTGTTGCAGTAAGGTGACATTGCAGTTAGCCACAGTTCCCAGCTATGTTTATAGCTTCCAAAACCATATCAGTGTTCTTGTGAATGCATGTACTTCAGGGATCAGATTTGCTGCTATAAACCTGCTGTTTTTCTAAATTAATGGAAAGCAACATGTGCTACATGTGGCCTAAAGCCTAGTTTTGCCATCCTCCATTGCTGACCCTGCAATTTTTTTTTAAATAATAAAAAGAGGACGTGCTTCCATAGCAGACCTGGGGTAGGAAACACTTCCACCGAAGCTATTAAAATCGCCCTCAGTGGTATCAAAGTGGTTGTGTACATGCCATCAAGTGATGAATATGCCAGTTTGAACTAGCCTGATGATCTCAATACACACTATAATTTAATGCATGTGGTAAAGGCTGTCTAGTCTATCGCACAACTAATTTTGATTCTCAGATTTGCATGCCAACCTTTAATGCATTGTGGTGAAAGTTGCCCAGTTCCTTTGCAGGCCAACTCTGACTGGAGGGAGAGATAAGGAGAGGGGGCAGTTAACCAAAAAGCTCAGGAAGAACAAAGGAAAAAATGGACCTTCAACCAGTGCTTAAGTGTGTTTCAACTGTAATTCTTCAAGGATAAAGGATTAAAAAGTGATCTTTTGATGCAGCAGAGTCAATATTGAGTGATGCCAGATTGAAATAAGTATTAGAAGGTTTATGTTTGAAAAACTTGTGCAGGGTGCTAGAACAAATTATTACATTTGAGCACTAACTTTAACCCTCCATTTCCCCCAAAATCTGTCTATCTTGTAGCTAAATTTTAAATTACTGGTGTGTGGTTTTTATTATGGGCTGGTATGGCAACTATCCTAAATAAGACAACTACATTTCAGCAAACTTCCAGGTTGCCTGTGATGACTGTAGACATAATTTTCTTTTGGGATAGAAGAGATTGTAGGAAGAATTAGAGGAAAATAAAATAAAAGAAAGAGCCCTCAATTGGAAAATAGGCTGTTCCAGGATATCACTTTGCAGTTTGCCAGTGCCTGTAGCCTTCTGTATGTGCATTTTTCTCTGCTTGCTTGAGACCTCATATAGTCCCATGAGTTAGGTGACAAGGAACAAAACTGCAGAATTCAATTTAAGCACCCCTTGTGCAAGGACAAGACAGGAATAGCTAAGAAACAAAATTATAGGCTGCTTGAGAAACACATTTCTTCCTTTTGTTCCTTCAGAGACCACAAAGGATTGAAAATCAGATCACATCTGCATAATATACCCCAGTGCCTTTCATCATCCTGTTCCATAAAGCAGAATGGACATTAACCCAACAAATTATAAGGAGATAGGAGGGAAACATCACAGGGAAAAGATAAAACAATCAAAATTGGGTTTGCTAAGTAATTCCTGATGCAATTAGAATGGATTTCTATTATATTGTCCTCTTGTTGGAGTGAAGTTAGGTGAGGCTGTTTGCTATGAAACCAAAGTTCTTACCATCCACACTGAAAGAGCAGACAGCATCTGCCTGTTATTCCTTCAAAGGAAATTCAGGCTGAATTGCTGTACAATCAAAGCAGATATAAGCAAGCAAAAAGTCTTCTAAAACAGACTTTCTGTATGCACACAGGTGTTAATTTGTGTTCATGTTATTAAGACTACACAGACTTCAAAACTTGAAAATAACTATTCAGAGAAGAAGACAGGCATACAGAGAAAAAGAGGGGGAAGAGAGAGAGGGAAGGGAGGAAGCAGAAAAAGACACTAGGGAATATAGAAAAAATTACTTTAGGTCAGGTGTGAGCAACACTCAGCCCATGGACTGTGTGTGGCTCCCATTGATCCAAGTATGCCTCCCAGCACCCAGGTTCACTACACTCCCAAAATGTTTAAAACTTTTTGGGAAAAATCCCCCTTATGCCCTAAAACCACCTCCTCTCTAAATATGTGAATCAGCCACTACTGAAATGATATTTTCAGGTAGTTCACCCATCTCTGTATAGACACAGGAAAATGGTCCTTCTACTTGGAATGACAAAGGTAACGGGATATGACGATACGTATAATACATGAGAAGAGAAGACTCCCTGGAAATGATGCTGATGTTAGGAAAGTGTGAAGGCAAGAGGAGAAGGCGACGACAGAGGACGAGATGGTTGGACACTATCACCAAAGCGACCAACATGAATTTGACCCAACTCCGAGAGGCAGCAGAAGACAGGAAGGTCTGGCATGCTCTGGTCCATGGGATCACGAAGAGTCAGACACGACTTAACAACTAAACAACAACACAATACATAGAGCAGATTTCAGAACTGAAGCCTTTTGAAACTGCTGAAATTCTGATGTATTTTATTTTTTAAAGAAACACAAGCACCATGTTTGGAGGAATTAACAGGGATGGGGTAGAAGAGAAGGAAGGGGCAATGAGCATTAATATAGATGTCAGACCTTCCCACTTCATCCCCTCCTATGAGAACAAGGGATTACAGACCATCCACACCTTTACAGAACCATGTTTGTGTGCTCTTTACAACCTATATAAAGTTTATGTGGCTTGAATCCAGGCTCTGATGGACCTTATCTCTCCATATAACCCTTCTTGGATCTTAAGATCTTCTGAAGAAGCTCTCCGCTCAGTTCTGCGAACACTGGCAACTTGCTAAGGTTTTCTAAGTAAATCAGTTGCCCTCTGAGGAGCTTCAGATATGTTTTTTTGTTTTTGTTTTTTTTTTGTTGTTGTTGTTGTTGTTGTTTTGCTTTTAAGAGAGTGCCTATAATAGCTGAAGCCAGGAGACACTTTGTATGTCTCATAGTCCTTACTGTATGTGGTTGCCTTGTGGTGTAGCTACATTGATGCTTGCAGTTCTTGCAGTATGTGTACACTATAGCCATCATAGTACTTTTTGGGGAGTTTGCTAGCATATTAACGTGGCCTCGTATTTACAGCACCTCCAACTCCAGTAATGAAGGCTGAGGAATGCACCGTTTGTTGGGACACTGCCACCATTCGATGGAGCACCAGCAACCCGGAAGCAACAGACTCTTTCACACTCGAGTACTGCAGACAGTACTCCCCTGAAGGAGAAGGTCTCAGGTCAGTCGCCTTTGTCTTGGAACACAAACTGGAAGGGAAGCGAAAGGAAAATTTCCTAAGTCGGGGTTATTTTGGGGAAAGATTATTCTGTGTGCTGTTGTGATCTTCTGAAGGAAGAAATCAGCTTTGCTGTGGTGATTAACATTTCTGCCAGATGCTCATCTCTGATTATACTTGGAAAATCAGGAGTACCTTAAAATTTGTGCCAGTTGAAGTTAAACCAAAAGGTTAATTTGGACTTGGATTAAAAGCATGGGGCATTAGGCTGATCATTCCACGTCAACATCCTATGAATGGAGTATGAAGGCCCCTTCCAACTCCATTATTTTACGATTCTAATTCTGATTTCTCTCCAGCTGTATTCCTACAAAAATACAGATAGGATGGATTCTTCTGGCACCTTTAAAGACTAATCAGTGTTGTCTGGCATAGGGACTGCAGCACACTTCGTCAGAGGAATGGGTTGTTGCCTCTGTTGGCAGATATACACCTGTTAGGACACAAACAGAATGTGGGCGAATAGGAATTATAAATGCTGATGATTTCTTCAACAGAATAGAAATGCAAAAATTATAAATGCTGATGATTATCTGAATTGCTTCTTAAACAGTAGTTGGGAGGTAAAAGAGCATAAGCAGAGTCCTACATGTATGGTTATGAAAAGAGTGCTTAGAAGTAATGCATGTACAGATGGGCACAAATTGAGATTTTTGGATCCTGCTGGATCATCATACCGGCATCACAGGTGTCACAGAGTCCCGTCCCCCACCCTCGGACCAGATTACCCCACTCACCAGCCAATCCTCACTCTGCTCTCTCTCCTCTTCCATCATTTCGTCAGTTGCAGCAGGAACATGGACATCCCTTTTCCGCCTCCTCCAGGAGCTGCCCAGTCAGATGAGGAGGCAGGGTAGGAATTGCTGCAGTGCTGCCTTTGACTGAGCAGCTGCTGGAGGAGGCAGAGAAGGGAAGTCTATGCTCCTGCCATGACTGGTGAAACAAACAAAGAAGAGGAGGACCTGAGCATGCGCCAGCTGGTGAGTGGAGGAATCTGGCTGAGATGATGGTGGATGGGACTACACAGATACCAGTACGGCGATCCAGAACAATCAATGATCAGGATTTGTACCCAAATCTAATTAGAAGTAATGTCATTATCCATAGTTTGATGCTCTCCTGGGTAATTATGCTGCTTTTAGAGGTTAATGTCACAATCTCCACCAATCTTAGTCTTTTTTTTGTAACAAAGAATAGTTAGTCCTCATTTCTTATTGCTGTTTATTTTAGAGCAAAAGATGGCCAGGGTGGAGCCAGTCCTGTTTTTGTTAAACAGAAGACTTATGCTGATCAGATCAGTGAAGAGACCTGTAGTGAAGCCTACATGGCTTTTCTCAGGAGCTGATACTGTAACAACTACAGGATGTGTGGCTTGGGAACCACAGGAAAGTGCCTACACTTTCTCAAGAGGTTAGAGCATCATGTTGCTGAATAAAACAACATAGATAGTGGCACTGGAAGGAGCAACATGGAACCCTTTGTTAGCAAGTCAAAACAGAACAGAAGAGAAAAGAACCTCCCCCCCACCCTGTAAAATTTGTCCCTTAAGATGAGTAGTAATAGTGGTGCAAGAGCATTGAAATGAGAAATGCAGTGAGCTGCTTTTAATATTTTGAAAGCAGCTGTATCTATAACAATTTTGTGTCTCCACGCAACAATGTCAATTTATTTATTTATTTGGTTCTTGTGGGTTTTTTGCTCAGTTTGGCCATGTTCTGGAATTCCAGAACACAGCCAAACAACCCGAAAAGCCCACAACAACCATTGGATCCCGGCTGTGAAAGCCTTTGAAAACATATTTGGGTGGGCGTCCCAGGCATCAGTGGTCTGGGAAACTCCCTCTCCTTTGAAGGGGTGACTCTTACCACCAAGAGTGAGGTTCACAGTTAGGGTGCACATCTGGACCCAGCCCTCACCATGGAGACCCAGGTGTCGCCAGTGGTCCATTCCGCACATTTCCACCTTCGGCGGATTGCCCATCTGCGGCCCTATCTTGATGTGGGGGCGCGCACCACTTTGGTCCATGCGCGTGAAGTCTCCAGATTATACTACTGTAATGTGCTCTACGTGGGGCTGCCTTTGAGACAGATGTGGCTAGCTGTCTCTGTTCCATAGACATCTAAGAATTAGAAGTTTTGATTGATTGTGTGTAAAACATTTTTTTTATGGAGGGAAGTGGTTTCCAGCAGTTGGGTGGTGATACAGTTTGGTCTCTTTCTTCGTAAATCATGTTTGTTGGTTTAATAATTTTGAGGGTCTATCCAAGATTTCATAGATTAAATGGGAGGTGAAATTAAATAGTATTGGTGCTTATTAAAAGTACCACCCAGCTTGGGAGCTAGATATATTGTTTCCCCAGACCATGTCCTATATCAATTCACCTGTACCCCCTCCTGACAGGAAGAAATGTGTTCCGTCTTCCAAGGTTACCTTTGCTGGAAACATACAATGGAAAATAGATGCTAATGAGAAAATAAATGCATGATACAATCTTTAGAAATGGGATTGGCAAAGCCATCATGTGGTCTTGGTCAATGAATTCCAAGTAAAAACTCATCTTAGCTTCAAAATATATGGCCTTCAGTAAATGAGCAAGCATTGATTGTGTGTTTAGTTATGAGTAGTGCTCAGTGCAAAGCTCTGGGAGAAGGAAGAATGCTATTTATTTATTTATTTATTTATTTAGTGTATACCTCCCAGAATAGTTCTGTGCACCAAAGCGGTGGTGTGTGCGTGTGTGTACTCCCTATATATATAGAGAGAGTGTTTACAGATAGGGAGAATCAACTGTGTGAACGCGCTGACTGCATGGTTGAGATAATTAGCCATGCTAATGATTTGGCAAGAAGATTGTTTCAGCCTTCTAGCCTTCTCCAATATTGTGTCTGCCAGGTCAGCGTGCACGCACGCGCGCGCACACACACACACACGCACACGCACACGCGCACACGCGCACACACACACACACACACACACACCGTGTTTCCCTGAAAATAAGACATATTATTGTATACAGTATTAAATTTTGCTACAAAAACGCATTAGGGCTTATTTTCAGGGGATTTTTTTTTCACGTACAACAATCTATATTTATTCAAATGCAGTCCTGTCATCTTCTTCTGGTTGCGGCACAAGGGTGGAGGGCGGGGTTTCACTTAGGTGGGGCTTATTTTTGGGGTAGGGCTTATATTATGAGCATCCTGAAAAATCATACTAGAATTTATTTTCAGGTTGGGTCTTATTTTGGGGCAAAGAGTGTATATATACCACCCCTCTGGTGCACAGAACTATTCTGGGAGGTGTACATTTAATACCAAAACAAAGGCAACAATGATGTTATCAAGCAAAGAACAAGTAAATACATAAATACCATTCCAACCTCTTGGTCCTTAGCATGTATGAAAGGTAAGCCAGTATCCTGTTTGAATTCCCGTGTTTGCGATGGCAGTCACAGTTTGCCATACTGGTGAGATGCCATCATGTGCTGGTCATGCACTAGGAAATTGACCATAGAGTTCCAGGATGGACAGAGTGTGGCTCCAGTGTTTTTATGGCTCTTGTTGTGGGGGGGGGGGGGAAGGAAAAGTCCTCCTGTTGAAATATACCTGAAAACAGTCACTTTCTGCCTCCAAGAATGACGAGTTTGCATTAAAATGGGGTGCACAGCCACGCAGCCCTCCAAAAATGCTCCCTTCTCACCTGCCCTCCCTGTTCATTCCTTCTAACTTTTCAGTGAAACTGTTGAATTTGAGGGGTGGTGAGGTATTTCTCCCCTCCCCTTATTTGGGAGGTGTGGTGAGTCCTTGCATTGAAAATTTGGCCTGTAACCTCTCCAAAGGTTGTCTACCTTTGCTCTATGTGAAGTCTTGGGGGGGGGGTTGTTAAACAATGTGTAATCAACGTATTCATTTAGTTAACATAATCAGAGTTGAGAAAATAAATATAAATGCTCCAATCCTGCTCACTGGCTCCTTCTTTGTAGTATGGACAGGACTGTTGGCCTAGAGAAGAGATATTTAGTTCAGATTTTTAAGTCACTATTTTTCAGCCAAACATAATATAATGAAATTGTTAGATTAAACTGCCACCAGCCTCCGTGATAGAACCATAAATGTGTTAAACACATCTCTCCTACTCAGGGTTGATATTTCTTTGTAGAAGTGATAAACTGCTTCTTTGTCAATTATTTGGGAGCAGCATACAGTATGTTAAAGGTAAAGAAGCATAAAATAATTAAAGTACAAACAAGTGCATTTGTGAAACTGTCTGGAATATATCAATCAGGAAATCATTGTCTTAAAGGAAAGTATCCAGCAAAGAACAAAAGTAGTCTGGCATTAGGTTGGAGTGGGTCATTTCTGGAGGACCAGAAGTTGCACCTGTTCCCCTCTCAACCTTGGAAAGCTGCCTATTTTCGTGGCACTTCAGTTTTTTTAAACTTATGCTCCAATGGGATTTGGGAAGACAATTTTTATCATATTTCCCTCTTCCACCAGTTTCTGGTTCCAATTGCTAAATGTCGATGCCACCTCTGCACCAAAAACACATAAAAGAGCATTGAAATATGGTGAAATTGCTCTGTTGCTCCCTTACCAAGTGCAAGGTGTCCTTTTTAATTAACAAATTGAGGAGATTTGGGGCACCTGGAGGTGATGCTCAAGGTTCTTGGAGGCAACACTGAAAGCCCTAGTACTCTCATCCATCTTTGCTATAGGCACATACTGTACTTCATGTCAGACAGGAGGGCATTCTTCTCGATGTGAGCCAACAGATTTGAAGGCTTACTCCTAAAAATCCTCAAATTGATCTTGGACTATGTGGCACCACAGGGAGCATCTCTATGGAGGACTATATTGATCAGGCATGACATTAAGGGAGTATGTCCTCAGATATCCTGGCCTTTAAGTACCTTCTCAACCTAGAATGCAGCAGTTTATCTTTGT